GAGACATCAGATGATATAGGAATTGCGAGAGGTGGCGTGATAAGTGGTGTGGTATGATGAGGGTTCGGTATGGAAACATTAGAAAACGCAGGGATTTTAGCACTTGCTCGTGAAGTCGGTGTTACTGTTTTTTTTACAGGCGTTGATCTAATAATTCACATAATTATTAATTTCAAGAAGAGATCATAAAATTAAGTGATTTCAATTTAATACATACGATTTTGATGTACTAGAAGCGGATGATGATCCAGCAGATGCTCCAAACTTTGCAAAATTGTACATCTCATACTCGAATGACTCAACTTTCACTTCTTTAACACCAGCATTATCCAATGATTCAAAAGTAGCTTCAACTTTAACGACACCACGAGGTTCCGCAGAAATATCCGAATTATCTTCCTCGCCGGCATCATCATGAATGGCTAAGTATTTAGAAACAAAAACTTTATATTTTAACAATCCTTCACGTTCATCTTCGTAAATTACTTTTTCATTGATATCTACACCATTCGTTAATGTGGTTTTTCGTAAAATTACATTTTTAGAGATTTTGTGAATTGCATGCGGAGAAGCTTTGGTCAACTCAGCAGTAAGCACATATCTAATCGCAGCATGTTTACCCTCAACACTGGCTGGAAGATTTATCGGTGCTTTCAATGTAATAGCGAACGGAAGCAATGTTTCACCAGGATTAAAAGTTTTGGTGATGTTTACAACGGTAAGTTTTTGTTTAATCAAATCTTTGGTCGTTAAATTTCGTGTTGTAGCTTTTTGAGAATTATTAAATTGGGCAAATCCATGAAGTTTTAATATTACTTGAGTAACTTTTAGTGGAGCCGAAAGATTAATTTGGATATTGCCTTTGATTGCTAAAGAGCTTGTTGTGTTACTTGGTAAGTAAAGACTCGGTGATGCGAGAATTATGTCACATGATTTTATTTCTTTCATAGACATTTTTTTTTTTTTTTTATGGATCTAAGCGTAAGTAATTATTTCAAAGGTGCAAAAAAAAAAAAATTTGACAAGAGACTTTGTATATGTAAGGCGATAAGAAAAAATGTAAGAAAAAATAAAATAAACAAGTTAGATACAAAAGGAATGGTACCTTTTTTCTAACAGGGCTAAGTACTTATGTGTTTATTTATACGTACGCCCAACATGCTGATGATGAATACTGGATGATTGGATACCCCCACATTGTTCTTTGTCCCTGTAATCATCTAAATCAAGCAAATGTAGGTCCATCTAAATTTATTTAATAAAACCCGACGCATTTGGTATAAATGCACTGCGCCATAAAAATGGAATCTTAGTCCCGAGAACAGTTTACTTTATTTACTTGCGCATGTTTTAAATATGAGACATTAAGTTATATATTAAGTTATATGATACAGCAGCACAAATTAGAACAAACATACGGAGTTTGACAAATTTAGATATTTAACTTTTCTAAGCATTCCCTTTTGAAAGTTATATTAAGATGAGTAATAAATAATTACTTTTTCGTGTTAAGATGAGGACAAATACGTAACATTTTTGCAATCGTGCTTACGTATATTAATTTCCATGTGTCCGTTTCAATATGAACCATAGTACTACTTTATCGTGTACGTACGTACCTTTCTTGGTGACTTTCTTCAAATACTATTGGAGCACAAATTTAATTTATGAAGCAATCTTTCCGGTTGGTCCAAGAATTTGGCAAAATTGTTTTGACAAACCTAGTTAGTTGTCAAAGCAACCATATAAATAATTTACTACCCTTATTATCATATGACGATTACGAAAGAATATATTGATTGTATGTAGTACGTACGCACGCAATAGGGATGCGTGCAGGTTGTTTTTCCACGTCCATGTGCTGTGCACAGTGAAGCCATGTGCATCTCACGACAGCGTATCATAAACCATCGTATTTATTAAAAACCGTCGCTTTTCGTACGTACGTACGTACAGTACAAATGTAACAATAAGAAAAAATTCTTATTAAATATCAAACTAATATGACTGTGTCGTTTTATAGGCTGGAACATTAATTACTTTATTATCGTTATTTGCTTAAATTCTTGTGAATAAACTCATATATTTTATAATCAACTGTTCTTATATTTGTAACCAATTCAATTGTCTTGGTATTTGTAATAAACTAAAAAAAAAAAAGATCACACACGAATCTTTGACAAGCTTAAAACATGAGGCCTGTAGCAAATTCCCTTTCAGGATATAAATAGCTTGTTACAAAGTATCGATCAATTTCGGACGTTCCTATCAAGAAAGTAACCCCCCAAAATGGGTGTACGAGAGGGAAAAGATCTGATACTGGGGCGTGACCAATCATAGGATATGACAAATAATAATTATTGTATAATTTATGTAGTAATGTTTATTTGTCATATCCAATGATTGATCACGTCCCAGTGCCAAATCGTTAAGATTGGCATAGTGATTAACGAATAAAATTTTACTTACAGGTTTTCCCCCTCGCGCCCATAGGAAGACTTTCGTATGATTGACTGTTTAAGTCTATTAATTTTACATTATTTATACAGTTTAAAGTACTTTTTTAAAAAAAATAAAACTACGAAGAATAAGCAAAAAAGAAGTATATAGAAAGTTTTAATAGGTTTGTAGGGCTCCACTATTAAAAATAATCAAAATCCCTTTTTGTTTTAGAGAAGTTAGCATGATAATAACCTAATTCTATCTATTTTTAAGAAGTCGCTATTATGTTAACTTCTC